AATAATAGTTCTAATATTAGTGTTTTTATAGATCACTACTTGTCGAAAAATCTTTACAATTTCTTTATAATATAATCACAAGCTCATATTTTAATATTATTAAAAATATTTAAATACAAAAATTAGTACAATTATTAAAAAACAATATTAATTATTATAATAATTTTATTTTTTTCATACTTATAACTACTATTCATAGAAGCTCTCCATTAAAAAAATAGTTTCTATTAAGAAAATAGTTTCTTTTGTCCAAATGGATTTTAAAATCAGATTTAATAATTATAGTTATATACAAACAAAAAAAAACAATAATTTATATTATTATTTCATTGTTTTAACAAAAAAATAAGTTATTATAGTTTATAAAAATCAATTGAATGGTACAGAAAACCTCTTAAAACCTCTTAAAACTAAAGACCTAAGGTAACATAATGACTTGTGCACAGTAAAGGCGTTCTATAATCAAATCACAACCGAAACCTATGACGTACATATAAGTAAATAAAAAAATTTATTTTGGTTTTATTTAACATAATTTATTACTGCTTACATTATATTTACTTTATTCTAATTTTTTTTTTGTATTACAAATTTTCCCTCGTACAATACAAATCCTCATACATTACACTTCTTCGTCATCATCTAACATATGCCGCTGATTTTTGTGCTTTAATATCCTTTTTAAGAATTTTGCCTTTTATTTTTCTTTTATTATCTCTGCCTCTATATATCTTCTTTGTGTTACATTTTATTTTTATTTTCTTCCGAATATTTTATAGTTTATTAGCCCATTCACAAGTTTTTTATGAAATTTTCTTTTTATTTATTTTTTTTTTTTTTGTCGGTGACAGTATAAATCCTGTTGTGTGTATTACATGTCAGAATTTTTGGAACATATTTTATATTTATAAATTATTTGTATGCATTTTTAATATAAAATAAAATATAGATATTTAATTTGAACATATTTTATTCATAGAAAATAAAATTACGTTCCCTTCGAATTTTTTTTATAAATTTTCTTGTCACAAATTTAAGTTTTAGTTTACATTTAATAAATATTTTTTAAATAAGTCATATTATTAAATATATTATCATATTTTTATAATAATTTTTATACTATTTTTTTACTATTTTTATACTATTTTAACATTAAGAAAATTTTATCTCTTCTACGTAAGTAATTTTTATATAGTACTAGATTCCTGGCTTAATTAATTCTTATAGCGTGTTAGCACTGAAATAAAAAAAAAGTGTTTTAATACTATCTATATAGTATTAGATTGAATTTGTATTATCATTTTTGAATTATTGACGATATCTATGGAGAAAAGGTTTCGAAACCATGTGAGTTGACTTTTGGTCAAAAAAATATTATGAGAGTATAAATCTAAATGTATATTTAAGAACACTTTAAACGAAATTATATAAATATATTAATAACAAACAAAAAGAAAAGTTCGCCCAATATATCTACTTATGCCTTTATAATTATTAGAAAACGGAAGTTTGAAGATATGAGACCTTGAACCAAGATATAGTATTAGATGTTACAATAACAAATTATTGTTAGATTCGCAAAATAAATTGTTATTATTATCTTATCATAGTTTTCCAATACTCATTTTTGTTTTCATATAAACATTAATTGCCATCAAACCCATATAAAAAGAGTGCTACAATAGTATCTTACACCTATCAACCCAATATCAACCTAATATGATGCCATATAAAGATTTTATAGCACTCTCAATGAATTCAAAAACTTTCTGCTTAGGATTACATCTACTTTCAACCGGCAAGCAAATTTGTTGCTGTTATGAAGCATGTTCTAGCACTTTTTAATATTATTTATAATTTCAAATATTTTCTGAGTTACTGACATTTTTTTTTTGGATTTTAACTTCTTTATATAATTTTTATTTTTATTTATTATTTACAATATTTTTTTTTAAATATTTATTTTGCATTATTCTTATATATTTTTAATATTTTTTATTTTGTTTACCTATAATTGTTATGGAAATTAAATATATTTTTATTAAGAAAATCTTGATTTAATTAATTTTGGGTGCCACCTTTTAATATTCTGCATATTTTCTTTAACAAGGACACAACAATAATATAGTTCCTAGCTTAATCCTACAGAAAAGTTTTTCATAGTAAGGACATTTTTTATTTTTTTTTGTGTTTCGTTGAAGATTTTGTAACAAAAGAAAGCTTTATTTAAGATCTACGAATACATATAATTCTGAATCCCTCTTGCACTTTGCCTTTATTAAAACACGACGAAGGAGCAACTTTTTCACTTTTGTGCTGATTTTCTTAATTAAGTTTCTTTTCACTTTGTGTATCTTTAAGAAAAGATTTTCAATGCATCTGTCACTAAAAGGATAAAAAATATTTAACATCGGTTTTGTATAAAATGATTATACTTCACAGTGATAATAGTGATATACTTACTTTGTGCCTGTCATAAGAATAAAAAGCGTCAGCCTAAAGTCAAAATATGTATAAAAAATTCCTTTAAAAATATAAAGAGCGTAAAAAAGTGCTTCTAGACAGCATATTAATTTTCTTTAAAAATTGATTTTATGAAATTTAAAAGCGATTATTATAATATATACAATAAAGTATTAATTTACGTAAGTAATTTTGAAATGTAGTAACACAAAACAAAACACATATTTTTTTTTTTAGTTTTAATTATTATAAAATACTTTACAATAAAAAGCACGATATAGCAAAGTTTTTAATAAGATATATATGCTTACAGATGTACTAAGTACTCTACCTCGATTGGTTTGCTTATAAAGCTCCTCTTTTATATATTATAGAAGAAACAATATTTTTGTTTCCTCCGCCGCGGTAACATTTAACATAAAAAATTTTATTGCATATTTATAGGAGCAAAAAAACTGTTTGTTTTATTTTGCAGTAAAGTTATAAGTCAGGGAGAGGGCAATATTTGTGAGATATATAAATTGTAATAAAAAGTCAGTTTAAGTTTGCTACAAAAAACTGAAATTAACTCTCTATGAAATAATTTTTATATATATTATCGTATTATTAAATCTCTTTGAGTTTTAAAAAAAATATTATAAATCAGACACAAAAAATATTATTGAATTGAATTGAATTAAACATTATTGTTATATATTGCATTATATTATTATATAGCATTATAATAATAATTATTATTATTATTACATCACTCAGGATTATTGTGCATTTAAAATGGTCTACGAAGTAGACCGAAATATCTGTAATACAAATAGTTTTTCATAAATATTAATATAAAATTAAATATTTAACACAAATTTATAAGTGTAATTTTTATGTAAAAAAACATTTTTAATTTTTATGTGTTAAATTAACGATCTAAGCGCTGTAGTAGTTTGAGAAAACGTTTTATTACATTACATTATAGTATTTTTTTTTTTTTTTGGATTTAAGTCGTAGAGAAAGTATAAATATTTATTTATAGTAATTTTATTAAGTTCTGATTTAATTCAAAATATTTTTTCTAGTTATATAAAAATAAAAATAGTGTAAAAGAATAACTTAAAAAATAATTTTGAGCCACAAGTTGATTTAACTTTTTTTTAATGTTCTAAAAAGTAAGGAAGGTTTAAAGAAATTAACTGAAAATTTTTTTTTCAAACTACAATTTGTCTTCTCCGAGATCGATAAGATCGATGAAGAAGATCGATAAATAGGGAAACTAACAAATCATTCAGCGAGTTTAGAGCTTAGAGTGTCTAGAAAGGATAATATGTCTAGAAAGGATATAATTAGTAGAACAATCATAATATAATACAATTTTTCTGAAATATGTTGTCCCAGTTAAAAAGCAAAAATAATACCGAAGAATTGTTTAAAAATATTTTTTCTCATAACATTAGATTTTTAATATTTTATTCTATAATTTTATCAATATTTTTTATATATTGTATATTACCATTTTCATATATCAGCTTTATTTTATGAAAGATTTTTTAGTACATCAAATTAACCAAAATGAGTTAATTTATTAGTGGCTTTTTGGCGGCCTTTCAAGGCACTTAACCAGGTATTTTTCTCAGGCGTTATTATAAACTGACTATGAATTTTGACCCCATTTCAAGGTTTACGTTTTTACATCTGTTCCTTTTAAAATAATACAAATAATTATTATTTTTTTACTTCCTATTTTTTTTTATTTTTTTTATTATTGTTGAAGGAAAGTATATTGCCTTTAAATAAGTGTAATTACTAAGAAAAACAACGATTTTTGTAGTTTTAACAGAAATCCTTGATTAAAAACTTTTCTTTTCAACAATGTTAAGCGGTAACATTTGTTTTTTATTTACCACATTTACTGCAGTAAAAAACTTTTAACAGTTTTAACTGGCAATGCTGTGCATTCAAATTTTTGGGGCACATTTATTGTACATTTTCATAGATACATATATACTTACTTTTTAGTTATTTCCTACAAGAGTATACCAGGGTAATGTACAAACAGTTAAGCTAAAAATAATGAATGTAGTAAATAATTTTATAAACATTAAAATAATAAGAAATTAAAAAAATAAAAAGATTAGTGGGATGTAAAATGAAACTTTTATCTCTTTTATCTTTTTTATCTCTTCTTAGCAGTGATAACTTATGATAGCTAAAATATGACTTCCATTGAACCGAAGGGATTCCGGGATTTAAAAGCCAAACCCATTGTTAGGTACATCGATAGTCATTCTCTGCAAGAATATTCCAATGCATTTTGTATGCCGCAGTGTGCTACCATTTATGCATCATCCTTTTAAATAATTATTATATTTATAATTTATATATATAAACTTTAGCAGTAATGATAATAATTTACTTTTTTAATTCACTTAAAACTTATTCAGTAAACCACCTATGTATATATCTTCTATAGAATTTAAACTTCAATATTAAGTTAATAACTATTTTTAAATATATTTTTAATAAAAATTTTTTTTTCTATTTTATTTCAGTTAACTTACGTGCAAAAATAATTTTGTAAGTAAATATTTAATTTTAAATTTTTCTATACTAAAATTTATTTATTTTAAAGTTGTTCATAACATATCAGAAAATAGTCCCTGACATTAATGGATAGAAAAAAAAATTAATAAAATTCACTATTTATTTAAATAAAAATAAATAAAGAAATTTTTTGAAAAGTAGTGAACGACAACAACTAAAATTATTTTTATATTATTTTAATTAATTGAATTTTTGGCTGACCATACAGCTCTTTCAAGTATTATCAAATACCCATCATCAGTGATCTTGGAAATAATTCTTGTATTTAATTATTCGTAAATAATTTTTTGAGACTGCAAGTACTAGCGATTGAAGTCTTGCCCTGCAAAATTTAAGCTCAGAGTCAGCACTTCTTACCCAATTGGAGCGTTCATTTTTCGCACATTTTTCTGGAGTTTTGTTAATTTGCTGTGATAGTTTTTATTAACAAATCAGCTGTAGAATAATTGAATTAAATAATTATGCACTTTATTTTTAAATGTTAAATTTCAATACTATTTTGTTTGTATAAATTATAAATAAACTATAAATTATTTGTAGAAACTTAGCTAAATATAATAAATTTCAAAACGAAAACAAACATACACGCCCACTAAACCTGCCTACCAACTTTTAGCGTTTGCTCTTTCATAATTTAATTTGGCAAATTTAAGGTTGCGTATACGTCACGTGGTACCAGAAAAATATTATTTAAATTAAAATTGAAACCATTTTAAAGAACTAAATGAATAAAAATTTGCAAACAGCAATTTTTCAGTGTCGAATTATAGCAAAAATAATTGACTGCGTTAATTTCGTGTTTATTCATTTATATTCTGCAGATATCAACAGCATATCTAGATACATTTTTTGTATCTGCACATAAATATTAATTACGTACGTTGCTGTAGTTATTACTTATCGGTTTCTGTCGTTGCAATTAAATTTCATGTTTCAATAATTGATACCAGGACTCCGCACATTACTCCAGTTATGGAGCAGTGAGTAGTGGGAACCAGTGCAAAATCATCGCTAAAATTTAAGTTTCAATGGTCAAAATTTAAATTTTATGTATTTTGCTGTGAAATGCATTTTTTATTTGTTATGTGCATTTAGTTTTTTCCCGCCTTAACTGCAATTTAGTGCAGCACATTTTGTTGACATTCATATTTATTTATTAATTTTGTTGTTTTAGTTTATTTAAAACAAATTATATATATGCATATATACTTTTTTATATTTATTATGCATAGATTAATGCGTAGATTAATTCAGTATGCCTAGGATCATTTGCGAGAAATACAAACAGAATTTACATTCTGTTAAAATAGGCCTTGTATGGACACGAGTAAAAGTTTCTATAGTTATTTTAAAACTGCAAAAAAACAAGATATTTAATATTTAATAAACTCATATTAGTTAATCTAAGATGACCTCATATGCTTCCAATTCAATCTTTGAAAATAATACAAAAGAGTTAAGTGCTACTTTATCGCTATTCCGCTATTTATTAATCATTCAATATCTATCTATCTATTTGTATATATTTATATCTATCAACGAGTATATATCTAACTGAATTTATCTATTTATATCATTCTATGTATTTATATTTATATTTATATTTATATTTATATTTATATTTATATTTATATTTATATTTTTTATATTTTTATATTTATATATTTATATTTATATATTTATATTTAAATTTATATTTATATTTATATTTATATTTATATTTATATTTATATTTATATTTATATTTATATTGATATTAAAACATAATAACCCAATAAATGAGACAACTGTCTATAAATTATATATTCATGTTTTTTTGTTATTTTTTTTTGTAATAAATTGACTTCAAACTATTATAATTTCTTTTAGAAAGTTCTATATAAAATTCTTTAATAACAATTTATGTATTAATGAAAATTTATTAATTACATTTTGTACGGTACATCCTTTTATATTATTTTAACATCATTTTTATTTCGACTTTCCTTATTTTACAATTTGCACGCTTAGCTCTTAATTAGCGCCATTTTAACTTTCACACTTCTGCTTCATTCCATTTCTTTTCGTTTTCTTTTTATTCTACATATATTTTTTTCCCTTGTTTTTTTTTTTTGTTTTTTTTTTTACATTCTTAAACTGTTACTATAGTAGTTCTTATTTTATTAATTATTTCATATCTTCATTTTTTTTTAGTTTCTTTTATTTTTTTGTTTTCACTTTATTTTTTTTTCATATATATTTTTTTTCTTTTTTTTTTTCATTTTGATTTTTTTTTTATTCTTTTTTCCATTATAACTAAGAATCTCTTAATAATTTTTTTTTTGTTATTCTTATTTTGCTAATGCCTGCAGTCGTGTCAAGTAACCGACACTTCCTTCCTTCCTTTGGCCTTATTCCGGTTTTCAACTCCACTCATAGTGCGCACTGGCAACACTTAATCCTTTTTAACCTTTTCTCTTGAATAAATTTTATTTGCATTTTTTTATGAGTTTTTTATGCAATTCATTGCAGTTTTTGTAGTTTAGCTTCTTTTTTTTGTAGTCGTAGTTGCTACCATTTAACACCAATTGCTGCTGCTTTCATTGCCGTTGGTGTTAATTTTTCTATTACTTTTTAGTAGAGCTTAAATTGTAAAAAAAAAACTCTCTTTCTCTACTGCAAATAAAAATTAAAAAGTATTAAAATTCTTTATATTACTATATTTTAAATATTAAAAAACTTTTTATATAGCAGTGATATACATCTAACCGGCAAATACCTTAGCATCTAAAGTACTTCAGTTCAGACATTTTTTCTATTGAAATATACTTTCCTGTTGCTTTAACACTACTCCGCATCCGCTGTTATTGCCCTGTTCTGTTAAGTTAAATTTATTAAATAAAATTTTTAACTTTGCCAACGATTTTTATTTGAACTTTACTTTTACTGCCTATTCGCCAGCATTGCATTGCTTTCAATTTATTCGATTTCAATTCTGATTTAGCCATAGATCCAGTAGAGTTTTCTGCTCTATTGGCGTTGGTACTGCGCTATTTTTAATTCAATATACTGCGACAAACTATTCATTTCAGTGCCCATTCAATAAATATCTTTTTTGTGTTGTTGGCACTGTGCTACTTTTTATTTTGATATCTAAAAATTTTATTTAAAAGTCAGTGTTTATATAGAGGTAATGCTTAAGATGAGTTTCACAATGAAATGAAATTGTGAATTGTGCTCTTATTTTAAAAGAGCAATTTTTAAATAAATTTTAATAATTACTATTATTAAAATAGTACATATAACTATATCAGCAAATGTATCTGAGACAATTGGTTTTTCCTAACAATACTACTTTTATATGCAATCCATAGTCTCTTATCTTTTATGAATACAACAATATAAAGGCATTAAAAAATTATTTCATATTTTATTTTAACTATAATATTTTAATATTTCTGCAATTAAAAAATGAAATAAAAAATAATTAATATTCCCAATAACACCTTAAGCATTGACACTTGTCATCTTTTCAAATATATTTTACATTGAAATTAAATCACTCATACGCCGTGGTGCGCCATATTTTCTCTTGAAAAAATTCAGTCTTTATAATTTATTTTATATCATTTTCTTCCGTTGAAAATAAAAACATTAAATAATGTAATTAAAATATTTACAATTTATAATATAAGTTTAAAATAAAATAAAGTGTGTTTGTGAAAAAAATGTTAATTCGATTTAATCTTTTGTTGACCTCGCACTTTACTTAAATAATTTCAACTTCACAATGACACACAAAGTAAGGCAGAAAATGTTGCCGTAAAAATCGAAATGTTCTCAGCTGCTACAACGGAAGCGGAAATGCTGGAAATGCTAGCGGAGGCTGGGGTAGACGTGAGTTTAAAAATTAAATTATTATAAAGCAACAGGAAAGAAATGAATTAAGCTGCTTGTAAATACAAGCTAAGCTAAATGCCAGTCTGTTAAATCAATTAGATGAACTAAAAACGTGGCAACAACAATTTCATATCCTGTTGTGTTTCCTTTAATTAATTTTTTTTTTGTTTTTGTTTTTTTTTTCCTTACAGAAAGTAATTAATCTTAAAGATATAAGCTTTTGTGGATGAAACTATATTTTGCGTCTGAAAGTTGTGGAGTTGAAATTGTTTCACAGTAGTAATTTTTATTATAATACACAGTTAGTTGAATAGTAATAATAATAGGAATTAAAATATAGAATGTTAATAAAAAATAAAAAATCTGATATATAAAAAAATAATTAAAATAGGATTTATATATAATAACAGTAAAAAACATTAAATGTTAATAAAAAAATAAAAAGCACTAATGTTTAATTAAATTGTTTTTTAAAATTATTAAAATAACATTAATATATAATAAAAGTAAAAAACATTTAATGTTAATAAAAAATAAAAAAATCTGATATATAATAAAATTGTTTTTTAAAATAATTAAATAAAATTAAATAAATAATAATAGTAAAAAACATTAACCAATAATAAGAAATAAAAAATTCTGATATATAATAAAATTGTTTTTAAAAATAATTAAAATAGCATTTATTTATAATAATAGTAAAAAACATTAAATGATTATTAGAAATAACAGAATCTAATATATTTTAAAATTGTTTTTTGAAATTTAACAATTAAAAATAAAAAATGTGATTGATTAATTTAATTATTCCACAGCTGGTTTATGATTTCATTTTAATATAAACACAGCAAATGAATTTGTTAATAAAAACTTTCATAATAAATTAACAAAACTCCAGAAAAATATGCGAACATAAAAGTGAAGTACGGCTTTGGGTCAATTGTGTTATGAGCACTGACCCTGAGCTTTAAATTTGGCACGCTTTCGATTCCTGGTACTTGTAGTCTCAAAAAATCATTCGCGAATAATTAAATACAAGAATTAATTCTAAGACCACTGATGATGGATATTTGGCAATAATCGAAACAACTATA